ACATTAATTTGGAAATTCCAGGAGTAGAAACAACTCAGAATGTGATTAGATCTAAATAATGTGGGGCAATAGTCTTTAAATAACTAACTAAAAATCATAATGTTTCTTGAGCAGAAGGATATTAACAGGGATATTGAAGTTCAACTCTGTTTATTCACTCCTAAAAATAAATCCAATTAGGCAAACTTCTAGTCACAGTTACTGTTTAGACTGTGAATAAATTTTCTTCTTGTGATGGTTTCTGATAGGTAGATTAGTTATGCATAAAAAATGAGCTTTTGTTAAATTATATATGATAACCAGTTGTTAAATTGCCATTTCTATATAATAAGCTAAAAGATTGAATGTGCTTATTATTAGTTCAATTAAAGATGTGACCTATGTAGTATGCCCATATGTAATATGCCTAAATTTGATTGTTCTAAATAAAGATAAAATGTTCTTTAACAAAAGGACTGAAGCAGAGATTAGAAGCAGGCATACTGATTTAATGGACTTACTAGAATATTCATTAAATAGTTCATATTCTCTCCTTGTGTCTCTGTCTCTCTCATATGTGCAAACACACAGAGACACACACACCCCAGATGAGATACACTACAGCTCTCTTATACACACAAGACAGACAGACAGACACACACACACACACACACACACACACACACACACATGATGAGATACACTCCAGCCCATATGGGCTTCTGAAAAATGTGAGAGATGAGTAGTATTCCTTGAGCCAGTCAGGTGGAAAAGAGACTGTGTGGAATAGAGGCCCATAGAACTTATGGCTTATTAAAAGCAATCTTTCATTGTAGGTCATGGATTTACATGTCTTTAATGAAATCTGTGTGATTAAGTAGAGTTTGCTTAAAATTGACAAAATTAAAATGTATCAGCTTAAGGAACCAATACTATGAACCTGTTGCATTGTTTGATCATCAAAAAAGCAGCATTGGTCTAAAAAAAGTACATTTCTCTCCTGCAGATAACAAAACAATAGCTATCTCTGTGCAAGCTGTACTTAACACTTACTGAGCATTTCTTCACTTAATACTTATGACAGTCTTGTGTAGTGATGATATTCTTGTTTCCATTTTACACTTTTACTGACTGAGGCCCTGAATGTTTGAAGAATTTTTCCAGGTTCACACAGCTAGCTTAGGAAATTCATATATGTTTAACTCCACTGTGTGGTACCTAGCATTCTTCATTTTGCTTTTCCTAAACTTTGCATGTTTTTTATAGTTTAAGTATGTTTTTGTGGATTTTACATGGTAAAATGAGCTTTATATGTCAAGTAAAACGTTTCAATTTGAACTTTGATAACATAACGTACTTTTTTACCTTATAAACACAATAAAATTAGTATGCTTTATTTCGATTTGGTAGTGTGCCATAGGAATCAATATGAACCTAGGTCTAGTTTAATATTTTCATAATAAAATTAGAGTATATTAGTGATGGACAGAACCTTGCCTTCTTTGAAGTGTATTTTAAAGAATGAATAGAGTTAAGGCCTTGTCAAAAAAAAAAATTGTGCATTGCTTTTTTTTCCTGTGTTTGAGTCACTCTTCATTCATTGAAAAGTTATGTACCAAGATCACTGTATTCTTCTATACTGGTAAAGTGTTGCTGCTAGTGACCCTGATGTTATTGTATATAATTGAACTGTCCTTTCAATTTCTTAATATCCTCACTTCTTAGATTTCCTTTTACTTGCCTCATCTACCTCCTCCCATTGTTATACTCTGCAGTGTTTCACTTTTCATTTTTCCTTTTTTTTTGGCCCATTACCGTTGACCTTTTCATTTTCCTGTCCTCTTCAGTTTTCTTTCTTTCTTAAACAATGTATACAGCCCATTATTATGATTACTCCATGAAAAACATCTTTAATTCCATAGCCCTTATCTTATTTTAGCCATGAAAAAGCCAATACTGTCTCCCACCCCACCCACAGCTGAATATTGTAGAAGAATCATACAATCATTTTTACTAAAGTGTCTGACTTAAATTTTTAATCATAAAGCTCAAATGTCCATCAGCTTTACAATGTTTGCTTTTCTGCTCTCCAAAATGACTTATTTCAGAATTCCCTTTTTTTTTTTTTGAGACAGAGCCTCACTCTGTCACCTGGCTGGAGTGCAATGGCGCAATTTCAGCTAACTACAAACTTCAGCTCCCGGGTTCAGGCGATTCTCCTCCCTTAGCCTCCTGAGTAGCTGGGATTACAAGTGCCTGCCACCACACCCAGCTAATTTTTGTAATTTTTAGTAGAGATGGGGTTTCACCATGTTGGCTAGACTGGTCTTCAACTCCTGTCCTCAGGTGATCCACCCACCTCAACCTCTCAAAGTGCTGGGATTACAGGCAGGAGCCATCATACCCATCCCAGAACTTCTCTTTAACATGCAATTTAATACATACTCTCCTCCAATCCATTTAGCTCAACATCTTCCTTTAAAATTATTGAAAAATAGAATCAGTCAATTAAGAATTCTTCTGTTTACACCTTCAAATCTCCTAACATGTCTGCTTTGTATTCCTTTTATATTGAAAGTGTCACTGTTTCTATCAAGATCTAATTCCTTCTCCTGTACACTGGATCTTAACTCTTCTCACCTGTTCAAGTTTATGTTTTCACTTAAATATCTTTACTTTCTCACCTCCTAGATGTCCTCAGCCATCCATAGGTGAGCTGCTTCTTTATAATTTCCATCCAACCCTGAACTGCTCTGGCAAGGCCATCAGTAACTTCCATTGTTCTTCCAAGTGTTCTTATTTATTCTTTTTGTAACCTCTGAGCAGCAGTGAATCCTGTTCACCATTGTCATTTTTCTGAAATACTTCTCTTGACATCTACAATGCCTGGTTTCCTTTCTACTTCTGTCACCACTTGTTTTTACATACAGAGTATTCTTCATTTGCTTCATATCAAAATGTTGCAATATCAAAGGGCTCTCAGTTATTGATCCTTTAATCACTTTTCATCTATGTTCTCTCCTTGGGTGATCTTATCTAGCCTCCTTGCTCTAAAAACTATTACACTGAAGTTAACACCCAAATTTGTGTCAACAACTCTGACTTTAATCCCTGAACTCTAGACCCATATGTCACATTGTATGCTTAATAGCTCTACTTGGATACCCTGGACACTCACTTCCTATGTTCTTCTTTTAGTTTTTGCCATTTCAGGAAATAGCACCATTGACCTATTACCTTATGTCAAAACCTGAAACTTCTTTCTTTCAGACCTTAATGTAATTTACCAGCAAATCTCATTGCATCTTTTTCCAAACATATCTTTAAAGTTTCAGTCATAGTTTCACACAGTCGCCTCCTACCTGGTCTCCCTGCATCTATTTTTATCTCCTCTATTCATATTCTCCATGAATAATCCAGAGCAGTGTTTTTGAAACAATCACTTCATGTCACTTATTATCTTCCAGTAGCTTCCCAGCATATTTAAAATACAATCCAGGCCGGGCGCGTTGGCTCACGCCTATAATCCCAGCACTTTGGGAGGGTGGATCACAAGGTCAAGAGATCGAGACCATCCTGGTCAACAAGGTGAAACCCCGTCTCTATTTAAAACATACAAAAATTAGCTGGGCATGGTGGTGCGTGCCTGTAGTCCTAGCTACTTGGGAGGCTGAGACAGGAGAATTGCTTGAACCCAGGAGGCGGAGGTTGCAGCGAGCCGAGATCGCGCCATTGCACTCCAGTCTGGGTAACAACAGCGAAACTCCGTCTCAAAAAAAAATAAAATACAATCCAGATTTATTACCAAAACCCGTAAAGCCTCAAATGAGATATGATTGTCTTCCAGTCTCTGACTTAATCTTATAATACCAAGCTTACTAATAATTGATGAACTTTCCACTCATTTTCTCTGCTTTGAATGTGTTTCTTGCAGGTCTTTATTGACTTTCATTAAATCATGTAGTTCAACTGCAGCCCTTCAGAAGGCTTTTCCAATCATAGCAGTTGATAAAATAATGATGCTCATCCTCTACCAATTACTTTGCCACATTACTTTGCTTTATTTTGTTTTTCTCAGCACTTACATCTGTTTAAATTTAGCTTGTTTTAGTGTCCTCTTCTTTCCTCTCCAAAAATGTAAGCTCTACCAGTACATATGCTATGTCTGACTTATTTGTTAATTTTATGCCTAGTATGTTAAAACAGGGCCAGCACTTGATCTCTCAAGTGGCCTACTTGGTCCTCTTATGAGTGTATTTTCTTTTTCTTCCTTTTATTCTTGCACTAAAGCTTTTTGATAAACTTTCACTCCTGCTCTAAAACTTGCCTTAGTCTTTCTGCCTTATGCTCCTCAGTGGAATTCTTTCTTCTGAGAGGCCAAAAAAAGAAAAAAGAAAAAAAGGAAACAGTGCCTAGTCTGGTGGTAAGTTTTAAATATAATTGTTGAATGATTGGAATTCAGGGTGTGTCATTTAAAAAAGGATATGCATGGTTGTATTGTCATAGAAAAAGTCTGTTTTTTCTACTTCCTTTTCCTTCTGTTATCTCCTAAAAGGTTAAAATAGGTGTACTCTGCCAATCCTTTGGTTTTAGAAAGAACAACTTCTATAATCCTATAAAAAAATTTGACCAAGTTCTTAAGTATGAACAAGCCCTCTGGATTTGTGTACATCTTAATTATTAGGTCATTTTGCCACTTCTTTCTGGTTTGGGTTTCTTTTCTGGTTTCTGAGTTTCCAGTACTATTCAGTTATGAAACACCTGCTGTAATTTTTAAATAATTGAATTAAAAGTCGAGTTACATCATTTCGGTTATGTGAGTGTGTTAATGGTCTTTAAAACATGTTTTTGGAAATATGCATTATATTGATTTAGACCTAGTCTGAATATAAGAATGGGTATGATTGGGTGATACGTATTTATTTTCCTTTTAGCTGCAGGTTATACAGTACAATATCAAGTGAAAATGTGTATGTTGCCAGAGCCCATTTACCTTCTCATAACTTCAGTTTATTTTTTAGGATGTCATTCTCGAAGAACAATTACGAATGTACCTTCACTGTTGTTTGACACTTTGTGATTTCTGGGAGCCAAACATTGCAATTGTTACCATTTTATGGGAATATTATAGTAAGAACCTGGTGAGTGAATAGAATATGAATTTGCTACAGAAATTTTAAGAAATTGTACATATTTGAGGAATGTCTTTATGGTTTAATTATGAAAAGTGATAGATTTTTCTTAAAAACTTAATTTTTGGCCAGGCGCGGTGGCTCAAGCCTGTAATCCCAGCACTTTGGGAGGCTGAGGCGGGTGGATCATGAGGTCAAGCGATCGAGACCATCGTGGTCAACATGGTGAAACCGCATCTCTACTAAAAATACAAAAAAAATTAGCTGGGCACGGTGGCGCGTGCCTGTAATCCCAGCTACTCAGGAGGCTCAGGCAGGAGAATTGCCTGAACCCAGGAGGCGGAGGTTGTGGTGAGCTGAGATCGCACCATTGCACTCCAGCCTGGGTAACAAGAGTGAAACTCCGTCTCAAAAAAAAAAAAGTTAATTTTTGTTCAGAGTAGATTGGAGCAGCTCATGAATAGTTTTATCTTTACCATTGTCTGTAGAGTTTTGTCATAGGGAGACAGGATTTGGTATCCTTTTTTTTTTTTTTGAGAGCAAGTGTAAACAAACTACCTAAAGTATAGCAGATATTTATAAAATATTCATTTATAAATGTTTCTAATAGTAATTGATTGCTCATGACACATTGAACAGACACTGCTGTCCTAAGTAAGAAACAATCTTGGCACTTGAGTAGTTTATAGGCTAGTGGGTGGCTATACATATATTGTAGGAAAAAAGTTATAATTGTGGAACTCCAGAGGAGAGGGTATCTAACCCATTATCTGTATTTGTGGAAGACTTCATGAGGTCATAATTTTTGAACTTGGCTTTGGGGAATGAGTAGAATATTCTACGAACAGAAGTAAAAAAGGATCTAGGCAGAATCAACAGTATGGACAAATACATGGAGGTATGAAAAAGCATGGTCTATTCCTACCATGTTAATAGTTCTGAATGATAAGCCTGGGATAACTATGGAGAGAGACAGAAGATAGGAGACTAGAGAAGGCAGTCTCAGGCTAGACTATGAAGGGTTGAAGATAAAGTACAGTTGATTCTGATTTATTCGGAAGACACTAAAAAGCCAGGATGTAACTTAAGTATGTGTTTGAGAAAGTTTTTTTTTTTTTTTTTTCCTGAAAGTAGTGTAAATGAATTGGGTCCAGACGAGTTAGTAGTTTATTGTAGGTTGTATGAACAAATAATACTATGGCTGAGAACTGAAATAAGGACAAAAAATTTAGAAAGGAAAAGGTGAATTTGGAAGATAAAAATTTTAAAGGTAGATTTAAATGATTTAGTTACTTGTATATAGGGAGGAGGTTTGGGATGGTTGGGTTTGGGGATCAATAATTAGTGAACCCCTCAGTCAAAATAGAAAATGGTAATGGAAGATTTACAAGTAAATTATAAGTTTGGATTTGTAGATAATGGAGTTTATTAAAAATTGGAAAAAATACCCTTCCCTGAAGCATAATTTTAGGCTAGTTGAAGAAATGACTGATTCTAGTCCTGAGGCAGGATGTGTACAAGGTGAGTCTGGAGTGTCTTGTCATAGCAGAAAGCAGGAAATATATCATATTAAGCTAGAGTCATGTCAGAAGGACGCAAGAGCCACCTTGAAGGAGTGTCCATTACCCAAAAAATAGGAAAATTTAAGCATAAGAAAGAATTAAAGCATATCAAATATGCTTAAATCTCTGAGTTTATGCTTCCTTGTAAAAAGTTACTTTGAAAAAAAAAACAATGCCTCATTCCGAAAACTGTAAATTAAAGAAAATACAAACTATATTTTAATCAAATTTCTGATGAGCTAATTAAGAAGGTATGATAGAATTAAAAGTCACTGTTTTGTACATTTAATGAAATAATGGGACCACTTAAATGGTTGTACTAGGCTGATAAGCTGACCAGTCTTAACATCACAAAAAGTCAGAACCTACTTGCCTTTTTACGAAATGCAATAGGAAGTACTCAGTACTACCAAATGAAAGATTCTTGCCAAAAAAGTCAACACGAATCTGATGAAACATATAGATATAGCCGCCAATTTACAGAAAAGATAGGGGATAAAGGATTGTTAAGTAACACTAGAGCCATACAAGCAGCTAAATTTAGAACATAGGAAATTATATACAACAAATGGCCTGTTATTAAAAACACGTGGTATAACAAAAACATTGGGAAACTTAAAGAATAAAAGAGCCAAAAGGTCCATGAATATCACTGAATGCAATGTATGGGTCTTGTTTCTCTACTAATTTGGACAACTCAACTATTAAAAATATGTTTTGGGGGCCATCCAAAATTTGAACACCTCTTGATACTCTATACTTTCATGGAATTTTTATTTTAGGAGATCGTGTTTATGTAATTTTTGTGATTAAGATGAGTCAAACTTTTTATGAACCACCTAACTGGGATTTGCAGCTTACCATTTTATTTACTAAGAGACTAATAATTGTTTTCTCCTTTTTTTCTTCTCTTAGAATAGTTCCTTCAGTATTTCTTGGCTTCCTTTTAAAGGTCTCAGTAATACCATGAAGTCACCCTTGTCTATGCTTGAAATGGTGAAGACCTGCTGTTGCGATAAACAAGATAAGGACCTCTATAAATCCAGCAGTAGTTATACTATTTTTCTTTGCATTCTGGCAAAAGTTGTTAAAAAAGCAATGAAGAATAATGGCCCCCATCCTTGGAAACAAGTCAAAGGAAGGTATATGCAGTATTTCATCATGAATGTGCACTGATATATTTGGAGAAGTAATACTACTTGTATTTTTTTATGTTTACTTAGGGTTAGAGTCTTAATTATAATGTTACTAGGTAAACTATTATATGCATTTTATTAAAAGTGATAGGAACAAACATCTTCAGGTCGTACATTGGTAGGTAATAATTTCAAGATATAAAACTTTTGTGTTCTTTGAAACCAGTAGTTCACAAGTGCTGTTTTCTTTTTAACCAGAGTATGGTAGAACCAGATAACTAATATTCTCATTTGGGAATTATGCTGTTTTCTTTTCTGGTAAAATAAACTTTGGTCACATTAATCCATTTTCTCTCTCTCTTTTGAGAGTTTTATTTGTTCAATGAGTATCTTTTTAATTTGTCTTTTTTCTACTTCCTTTGCCTATATTAGCCCTTTTCTTAGCCCTCTTTTGCAGTATATCACCATCTACCACTTGCTCAGCTTATTTATTGGGACCCCTCAGGGAAGAGAATACTAGGTAGGGATGTCCCAGGAATCACTTAATGAAATTTCTGTTTGAGTCCCACAGTGAGTATTTCTTATAAGGGTATGGTGATATAGTTTGGATTTTTTATTTATTATACACTGTTTTAAATGGCAGCTTCTTTGTTAAATCTTCAAGAATCATGTGGCTCAAACAGTTTTTTCTTTTGCTCTATTTGACAGTTTATTTTTGAATCATAAGCAATTTATGGAAGACAGTACTCAGAACTTTATGGCTAAAAGAAGCCATTGGAATTTATTCAGTAACAAGTCTTTATTAGACACATACTATATGTCAAGCACTGGAGTGGGGATAGTAGTAGAAAATACAAAGATAATTAAACAGATTTTTACTTTTAAGAATTTGTCAGCTTTTAAATAGTTATTTATAAACATTTAACTCTCACGAGCGTTAGTCCTTTCTGTTCTGAATAAACCAGTTATAGACGTTATAAAACTTAAGGTCGGGTGTGGTGACTCACACCTGTAATCTCAGCACTTTGGGAGGCTGAGGCAGGTGTATCCCTTGAGGTAAGGAGTTTGAGACAAGCCTGGACAACATGGTGAAACTGTGTCTCTACTAAAAAAACAAAAAAGGTAGCAAAGCGTGGTGGTGCATTCCTATAATCCCAGCTACTCTGGAGGCTAGGGCAGGAGAATCACTTGAAATTGAGGCGGAGGCTGCAGTGAGCCAAAATCGTGCCACTGCACTCAAGCACAGTGGCTCACACCTGCAATCCCAGGACTTTGGGTGGGTGGATCACCTGAGGTCTGGAGTTCGAAACCAGCCTGGCCAACATGGCAAAACCCCGTTTCTACTAAAAATACAAAATAAGCTGGGCATGGTGGTGCATGTCTGTAATCCCAGCTATTCGGGAGGCTAAGGCAGGAGAATCACTTGAACATGGGAGGCAGAGGTTGCAGTGAGCCAAGGTTGTGCCGCTACACTCCAGCCTGGGCAACAAGAGCAAAACTCCTCGAAAAAAACAAAACCTTAATCTGTAAGTAGGAATTCAGATGAATTGTTATCAATTCTAATCTCTTAATTGATGAAAAGGATGTCAACTATTAACTATATTAGTATCTATTGTATTAATTATTGGGTCAACAATTGTATTAAATGGTATTGATAGGAGAATTTCTAAATACTTAGTTCTTTGCAGATGGCTAAAAATAATTTTTCTAGCACCTTGCATTGTCTTAAGCTATAACTAAAACAAGATCAAGTCTTTGTGAGGTGTGCAGGGAGAAAGAGTTTAAGGAAAAATGTTATATAAAGTTGTCCTGTTAAGATTTCTGTAAAAGTATATCAAATTGTACTTAAAAGATTATATACTTTCATATTTACTAATAGAAATAAGTAAAGAAAGGTGATGAGGGACTTGAATATAAGGAAAAGCTATGTACTATATGAAAATATTTCTACTATCCTTTGGGGAAAACAGTTGAATCCTTTGATTCACTTACCTGTGATTTGCTGCATCACTGGGAAATTTCGAGGTAGGGCCATTATGTGAGTTTGTTTTCTAAGTAAAAAAAATGACAAGGGAATATCAAAATGAAGAATTAGCTTACAATGTAAAGTAATGAGACTGTCATGAGTATTGAACCAAATTTTCTTTTAAGAGATAGGTTTTCGTGAATGAAAAATTTTGTTAAAGCATTTTTTAATGTTTTACAGAATATATTCAAAATTCCATCAAAAAAGAATGGAAGAACTAACTGAAGTTGGTCTACAGAACTTTTTTAGCCTTTTTCTACTGTTAGCAGCTGTTGCAGAAGTAGAAGATGTAGCAAGTCATGTTTTAGATCTCCTGAATTTCCTCAAGCCTTCTTTTATAACATCTCAGAGAGCCCTCATTTGGAAGGGTCACATGGCCTTCCTCTTGATGTATGCCCAGAAAAATCTGGACATTGGTGTTTTGGCTGAGAAATTTTCATGTGCTTTCCGGGAGAAAGCAAAGGAATTCTTGGTGTCTAAGAATGAGGAAATGGTACAGAGACAGACTATGTGGACACTTCTTTCCATATACATTGATGGTGTTCAAGAAGTGTTTGAGACCAGCTATTGCTTGTATCCTTCCCATGAAAAACTGCTTAATGATGGATTTAGTATGCTTCTGCGAGCATGCCGAGAATCTGAACTTAGGACAGTATTGAGCTTTCTACAGGCTGTTCTGGCCAGAATCAGGTATGGTTTTCAGTTGCATGCCAATTTATGATTTGTTTTATATCATTACTTATATGGATTTTATATTAAAGTTGTATATATACACACACACACACACACACACACACACACATACACATGTATATTAAATCCAAATGAAGAGGAAAGATTTAGTTTTATACTACATGGGCATAAATCGGTACAGACTGAGTTTATCTGTATACTAAATGCTATTATATGAAATACTTGGGACAAGAAGTGTTTTGAATTTTGGGTTTGTTTCAATTGTGGAATATTTGCATATATATAATGAGATATTTTGATGAGGGGACCCAAGTCTAAACATAAAATTCAGTTATGTTTCATATACATCTTATACACATAGCCTGAAGATAATTTTATGCAGCATTTTGAATAATTTTGTGCACGAAACAAAGTTTTGACTGCAACCCATCCCATAAGGTCAGATATAATTTTCTATTTGTACTATCGTGTTGGCGCTCAAAAAGTTTTGGATTTTGGAGCATTTTGGAATTTGGATTTTCAAATTAGTGATGTTCAACCTGTAGTCTTCAAGCTGTTTTTCAAACAGTAGCTTTTCAAAAGAAAGCTTATGTGCGAACACAAGCTGCAGAACTAAACTCAAGAGCAGCTCTGGTGCAGTCGGAGAGCCATGCCTTCCTTTAGCCCTTCCTTCCCCTGCTACCTCTCAGAAAGGTGTATTATTACCCAGAGATACATGACAGATATTCTAAGCAAGATCATGGGCTCATGCCTCAGGTGGCTTTTACTGGAGCATTTGTAATTTTGTGCTCATAAGTAAGTTTTGGTCACAGTACATATACTCTTCTTTAAAAAGTGACTTTAAATTTTTGCAGCAAAGTCATAGCCTTAACTATATCAATTTCTTCCAAATAAATCAGTTTTCTTCGAAATTAACATAGACAATTTTGTTAATAACACTAATCACCTATACAAAACTTCTGTTTTCAGATCCACTTAAATTATGCAGATATGTTAAATACACTCAGACACAAACTTGATGTGGATAAGAACAATGGTTATGATATTTATCCCCTTTTTACTTAGAGGTTTTACCTTTGAAGTACATGTTCTTAAGAAGTTAAATACTACCACTCACATTATAAATGTTTCATCTGGTTTTCAGAGGTACTAAGCTTGGCAAGATTTCCAATTTTTGGAAATTTATTCATTATCAAATTTACTTATATTACTAACTTAGTTAATTTTCTTTATGCTGTATTTTCATGGCAGATTTTATACTTCTTCCAAATGCCAACTTTGTTTTATTTTTTCAGCTTTTAAATAAATGTTAAGAGATCCCCTGTGCTTCTTGGGAAAATTAGAAATTTTTCATTTCTAGTATCAGTTTTGGTTTTCTCTATATATTTGTCTGAATATACAAAACAAGAAGGAAGAGGAACGTGTTGGTCTAAGCCATCCAGGTGATGAAGAACTCTGGTCCCCGAAAGACTTCAGAGCATAGGAATAAGAAAGGAAGAAAGTCTGTGGGCATCTTGAGAAGAGGCAGTCATGGGGAAAAAAGTGCTAGAGTCCATATATCTTTCTGCCTTTTCCATTGAAGATGGATAAGTCCTTTTTAATTCTTTTTAACAGTTATATTGCTTCTTACATAGTTTTTTTTTTTTCCTCAGAGGTTCATATCCTGCAAGTAGTTTAAATTTAGTGCGTTAATTAAAAATTTCTGGCAATCTTTTTTGGGTTTTGTTAAAATTATCTTTATATTGTTTGTGTAATATATTATGATGATAGAAAGAGGAGAGAAAAGAATTATAAGTGACAAGTAAATCTCTGTTCTCAGCTTCACTTCTTCATTCTCTAGTTCAGTATTTCTCAACTGGGTGTGAATTTGTCCCCCAGGGAACATCTGGCAATGCCTGGAGACATTTTTGGTTGTCACAACTAGGGGAACACCACTGGTGAGGTCAGAAATGCTGCTAAACACTCTATAGTGCTCAGGACAGCTCCTATAAAAAAATTATCTGGCCCATCTTCAGCAGTGCTAAGGTTGAGATACATTGCTCTAGTTCTAATCCACTCAAGAGCAGATATGGCTTCTACAGAACCTTCCAGGTATCTCCCCTACTTACATATATATATATTGAGACAGAGTCTCCCTCTGCACCCAGGCTGGAGTGCAGTGGTGCCATCTCCGCTCACTACAGCCTCCACTCCCCAGCTCAAGCAGTTCTCTCCTCCTGGGCTCAAGCAATTCTCCTGCCTCCACATACCAAGTAATTGGAATTACAGGCATGCACTACCACGCCCAGCTAATTTTTGTATTTTAGTAGAAGTGAGGTTTCACCATGTTGGCCAGGCTGGTCTCGAATGCCTGACCTCAGGTGACCCATCCGCCTCGGCCTTTCAAAGTGCTGAGATTACAGGTGTGATCCACCATGCCTGACCCTATATTTAAAACACAAAATAGCTGATCTTTGTTTTGTAACTTCCTTTTTTTACTTGATATTTCCTGAACAGCTTTTCAGGTTAAAACATGAAAACCTACCTAATTCTGTTAAATGATAACTTACTGTTTCATTATATAGATGTGCCAAACTTTATCCAGTTGCTAATAATGGAAATGTGTATTGTTTACCAGTTTGTTTGTTTAACATCTTTATACATATATTTCTGTGTACTTGTGGAAGTATACCTGTAGACTAATTCTTTAGAATGAATTGGTGTATGTGCATTTTAAATGTGAATAGATGTTACCAAATTTCATACCAAAAAAACCCATTTTATCAGTTTTTACTTTCACTTATAATGTGTGAAAAAGCTGGTCGGGTGTGGTGGCTCATGCCTGTAATCCCAGCACTTTGGGAGGCTGAGGCGGGTGGATAACGAGGTAAAGAGATTGCGACCATCCTGGCCAACATGGTAAAACCCCATCTCTACCAAAAATACAAAAATTAGCCGGACATAGTGGCCGTGCCTGTGGTCCCAGCTACTGGGAAGGCTGAGGCAGAATTGCTTGAACATAGGAGGCGACGGTTGCAGTGAACCGGGATTGCATCACTGCACTTCGGCCTGGAGAGAGCATGTCTGAAAAAAAAAAAAGAGAACGCTTCCATTCTCATTTTTAGATCATTGTATGGAGTGTATGTAGAACAAAAACGCATTCTAAGATAAGAAATAAGGCTGGGTACAGTGGCTCATGCCTGTAATCCCAGCACTTTGGGAGGCCGAGGTGGGCAGATCACCTAAGGTCAAGTCCGAGACCAGCCTGGCCAACATGGTGAAACTCCATCACTACTAAAAATACAAGAGTTAGCTGGGCATGGTGGCACACGCCTGTAATCCCAGATGCTCGGGAGGCTGAGGCAGGAGAATTGCTTTTTTTTTTTTTTTTTTTTTTTTTTTTTTTTTTTTGCCTCTAAGCCTGCCTGAGATTTGGGAAACTTCTTTCTGCCTGCTTTATTTCTGGCCGTCAGTCCTTCTGGATGGCAATGTGAAAAAGGACCAAATTCCACCATATTAATTACTGCTGAATGGGTGGCATAACATCAGAGCAGAAAGCCTGGGTCATAACAGAAACCAGCCTTTCACTAGCTCATTAAAGGTCAACTTTGAAATGAGAGAAACAAGTAGAAATAGCAAGAATCTATCCGAAAAACATCCGGGTTATTATGACTGTTTGCTCAGCATTATGCCGATTGTTCAGAGGTTGGTTGTACTGCATTATGAAGTGTGGAAAAGAGCCAAGATGATTGGGCCAAGCTCTGCTATTTGTAAGTTCCCTTGGCAGCAAGATCCCCCTCCTTTTTTTTTTTTAAATGTAATTTTCTAGGGGTGGAATGTCACACCATTTTTAATGACATGGCCCCTGGTTTCCTCCAGTATAGCCAGGGATGACACAGAGGCTATGTTTTCCAGCTTTTTTTGTTTGTTTATTTGGAAAGAAAGAAAAAAAAAAGGAGTGAAGGAGAGGACGAAAGAGGAAGAAAAAGAGGGAGAGAGAATGGGAATGTAGCTTTATTCTAAAAATGGGTATTAATAATGGCCAATCAATATTATGTGTATTTAAGGTGGAGAATGTATATTTTGTGTATTTAAAGTGGAGAGCTCTATAAATATTTATTGAGTTTACTTGTTCCGGATCTGAGTTCAAGTCCTGGATATCCTTATTAATTTTCTGTCTCGTTGAGTCTAAATCCCTTTATGAGTCTTATGTATCTGGGTGTTAGGATCGTTAGCTCTTATTGTTGCATTGATCCTTTTGCCACTATATCTTTGTTGCTTTGAAATCTATTTTATCAGATTCGAGAATTGCAACTCCTGCTTTTTATTTATTTATTTATTTTTGTACTCCATTTGGTTGGTAAATCTTTCTCCATTCCTTTGTTTTGAGTCTTTGTGTATCTTTGGATGTAGCATACCGCTGGGTTTTGGCTGTATCTTTTGATTGGGGGATTTAGTCGACTTAAATTTAGGGTTACTGTCATTTGATGTTAACTGGCTATTTTATCCATTCGTTGATGTAAATTCTTCTTTATGTTGATGCTCTTTACTTTTTGGTATATTTTTAGAAAGGCTAATACTGGTTGTTCCTTTCTATGTATAATGCTTCTTTCATAAGCTCTTGTAAAGCAGGCCTGGTGGTAATAAAATCTCTGAGTACTTGCTTGTTCATAAAAGATTTTATTTTTCCTTCAATTGTGAAGCTTAGTTTGGCAGGATATGAAATTCTGAGCTGAAAGTTCTGTTCTTTAAGGATGTTGAATATTGGCCCCACTCTCTTCTGGCTTGTAGGGTTTCTGCTGAGAGATCTGCTGTAAGTCTAATAGGCTTCCCTCTGTGAGTAACCTGACCTTTCTCTTTCGCTGCCCTTAGTGTTTTCTCCTTCGTTTCAACCCTGGTGAATCTAACGATTATGTGCCTTGGGGTTGCTCTTCTTGAGGAATATCTTTGCGATGTTCTCTGTATTACCTGGGCTTGTATTTTCCAGCTTGGATTCATTCTCTATGTCGTATTCAGGT